GGTCTTCCGGGAGGACGCTTGCGCCGCAGCGGGCGGAAGTGGCGCCGCTGGTTTGAAATCGGCCGAGTCGGCTTCAGCCGGCCGGAGCCGCCGAGTGCCATGTCTACCCCTCCGCTGGCGCCCGGGGGCATGGCGCCGGGGCCCTTCGGCGGTCCGCAGGCGCAGCAGGCCGCGCGCGAGGTCAACACGGCCACGCTGTGCCGCATCGGGCAGGAGACGGTGCAGGACATCGTGTACCGCACCATGGAGATCTTCCAGCTGCTCAGGAACATGCAGGTGGGCGCCTGGGGCGGGAGGACGGGTGAAAGGGGGCCTCCCCGGGCATCCTCGGGGTGGCGGTGTCGTCTTTACACCCCACGTCTTCAGCATGTGCCTGCCCCTTGCCCTGGGAGATCTCAAGTGCGGACGCGCCCCCCCCCCCCCCCCCAGTGTCCCCAGCCCTGGAAGACGCCCTTATACCCATTGCTCCCAGAATGTGTCTTTCCCCAGTTCTCACAGCTTGTGTTTGTTCCACGCCCTGGAAAACCCTCAGGCGTGGACACACCCCCTTACACCCTGTGTCCCCAGCATGAGTCTGCTTCCTGACCTAGGAGATTCCAGATGTGGTCACCCCCATTTTCCCCAGAACTATTCCCCAGCAGGCATCTCTCTCCCACCCCAGGAGACTCCCATTACCCCCAGAAGTGTCACCAGCATGTGTCTGTGTCCCCCCCCACCCCCCCTCCCCCGCCCCAGGAGGTATCAGGTGTGATCACCTTTACCCCCAGCTCCACAGTATCCCCAGTATGTGTCCATCCCCAAAGATCTAGGACTTGGTGGTATTGAAGGGACCTTTTCTAGATTGGGCCCAGTCGTGTACTTGTTTTATAAACATTGTGTTTTCCGAAGTGCAGGTGGATCACACCGTACTTGCCTTTTAAAGTTACTTGAGAAGATTTCGAACAAAATTTCTCCTGAAGGAGATGCCCAGAAACTGAAGAAGAATTTAGACAATAGTTCTCCCCGTTTCTAGGCGTAACTAGATTACAGTAAGCTGTGCTAATGTAAAGGGTTGACATATTTAGGAATATACCTGGGACTTGATCATAGTCACAATAGTAAAAATAGCCATTACCCAAAATGTTTCCTTACTCCCCCTGTGACATTTTTGCCTCTCTCCCCAAGGAGCCACTGCTGGTCTGTCTACATTTAATGGTTTTATGTGATATGAATCACATAGCATAGGAGCTTTGTGGGTCAGGGTTCTTTCAGCATCCATCTGTATGTGATTTCTTTTTCTTACTGTCTTATTGAATGACTGTATTGCGGCGTTTGTGTTTGTTGATCTGTGGGTGCATGTTTGGGTTGTTTCCACTTTGGAGCCCTTACAAACAGTGCTGCCTGTATAAATAATGTCAGAGTTTGGTTTTTTACGGACTTTTGTGTGAGTGTGTGTTTCATTTCTCTTGAGTAGAAGGTTTAAGAGTGTAATTGAATCATGTTTATATCATGTACATAATATATATGTTAAATTTTTTTTTTTCTAATGTGGCTGACCTCTTTGAATCTCCATCAGTGGTCTTTGAGGTTCTGGTCTCTCTCATCTTCAGCATCATTTCTTACTGGTGTGTCTTTTTACTTGGCCAGATACTTCTGTCAGTCTGTGGCTCTCGCTTCTTTTTCTTCAAACCATCTTTTGAGGAGATGGGATCTTTTTATAATTGTGATGGGATCCCACTTGTTGATCTGTGCTTCTACAGGTCTTGCTTTTGATGTCACACTTAAAATGTTTGTGTGTGTAACCCGAAGCAGTGAATGTTTTCTCTGAGAAGTTTTGCTCTTTACGTTTTCCCGCAGGTTTATAACTTAAGTTCTTGTGTGTGTTGGGGGTGGTGGTGGTGGGGTGATTATAATGATCAGTTTGGGTCTAAGTTCATCTTTCGGCTTCAGGTATCCAGGTTGTTCCTGTACAGTTTGTAAGTCATCGCTAGTGTGTGGTGATATTTTATTTGGGCTGAAATGTGATATTTTATTTGTATGTTAATAAATAAAGTTTGCCTGGAGATCAGAGGTCATAGTGAGCCATAAACAGAAGTCAGGCGGTGGTGGCACATGCCCTTAATCCGATCACATGGCAGGCAGAGTCTCTGTGTGTTCAAGGACACGGCCAAGCGTGGTGACACACGCCTTTAATCCCAGTAGCAACCATAGAGACCTCGAGGTCTGTATAGACAGTCAGTGATGAGGAAGTGATGTGGCTGGGCTTAGAGCCAATGAGAAGGCAGAACAGGAAGGCAATAAAGGCACAGGTTAGACAGGAAGAAACTCTCTTGTGAAGCTACAGTGAGGTGGTAAGCTAAGGTTAGTTGGTGGCTATTACTCTGGTCTCTACGGCTTGGACCTCTGTATTTGGCTCTGTGTTTCTTATTTAATAAGACTGTTTAGAAATTCATCTACACTAGTGCTTGCTTATCCTAACACTACAAGATGGAGAAAGCATCCTTGGTCTACTGATGAGGGTTCTATGGGTCAGAGAGGTAAACTGATGCCCTAAAGCTACTCAGTGTGGGGTAATTGAAGGTGTGCCTTGAGACTCTTACAACTTTTACTTCTATGGATGCCCTAAAGAGTATTTTATTGCTTTTGTTTGTTTGTTTCAAGAAAAGATAGTTGAGATTTTTGTCTATTTTTATAAAACTGATTTTGTTTTGTGGGAATCTTTAGTACTGTGTCAATAACTCAGTGTGAAATGCCATACATACAAAGCTAGTATCGTTATAAATGGACTCAAGGAAAAGATTGAAATTCTTTGGCAGTTTCAGGTGAATAGATTCATAACGAAAATGACTGGAGTGTGGATTTCACGACGTCCCAGACTTTAGCGTGCACTGTATTCCTTATTTTTAGCCTGCCCTCTGCCAGCAATATGAATTAACTAGAGCGTGTAGAAGCAGGTGTGGTCACAGATCACTAAACACCTATCAATTGCTTTTCTTGGCTAGGTCCACAATTATAGGAACAATTTCAAGAAGTATTTTTATTCCTATTTTATAATTAAGAAAACTGAAGGTTAAAGAAGGAATAAGTGGAAGACCCGCCATCACAGATGCCTCTAATAACCTGCTGTTACCTCACTTAACGAGCCGTCTGTATCATTAACAGAGCGAGAACTGAACTCCATCACCCGAACAGAACATGACTCTTTCCGACAGCTCCTGCCCATAGCTAGGCTCCAGGTAGGCCCGAATTTCGAACTGATACAAGGGCTGCTACAGTTGCGAATCTGCCTTCCACTTTGTGCTCCGACTCATCTCAAACTCTTTAGGGGACGCATAACAATGACCCTCAAAAGGCAACAACAGTGTGGCCCTTGAGTTCCCAAAGTCAGAAGTGATGATATAAACAGACGTTCTTAACTGGGAACAACATGGCTGTTTGTTTAATCATAGGCAGCTTATCCAGTTTCCGCTCGCCATAGTCCATCATGGATATTTAAGAGGATATGTTGAAAAAAAAGAACGCAGCGAGACTCTTTGTACTGCGCTTTCAGAACAGCACACCGTTATCATTGCCCTGCTTTATTTTTATTAATTTTGTACTCCATCGTAGTCTGTATATACTGTGTATACATCACGCCACAGTTTCTGGCGTCCACTGGGGAGTGAGGCTCTTTCAGGACCCCGGTAGGAGGGACTACCCCATGATCTCCAGAATACTCAGATTTCAGGTCACCTCTATTAGTCCATGGAAGAGAAGCAGCATAAGTACACACTGCTAATTTCTTTGCAAAAAATTGTCCTTTGTCTGTTAGATGTCATTTAGCTGCTCAAGACTCTGAAAACTATAGACTTCTTAGAAACAAAAAAAAAAAAAAAAGAGTAAACACGTTTTGAAAAGTAAGTTTGCAAGGTGTTAAGCATCTCCCCTAATATCCCTGAATCCCACATTAAGATTCCCTGTGAAAAATAGCATTGCTTTGATTCTGCTTATTATCCTTTTAATCTTTTATTTCATATTTTGGCTACATAATATATTCATAATTTAGGAATAACAGAACACATGCAGTGAGCACTCTCCTTTCTATTCCCTGTCTGCTAGGTACTTAATCCCTCTCTATGAGCAATGGTTGCTAATGATTCTAGCCACTGGTTATATTTATCTTCCAAATGCTCTTTGCATATTTAATCAAATCTGTGCATATATATTGTCTCATCCCTCCTTATTGCACAGATAACAGTATACTATGCATACTGTTTTGTACTTTGTCTTTTTCATTTGATATATTGTAATTTACGCATATCTATAAAGTACTCTATTTCTCTTTTTATACCTTATAGTATTTCCATTGGGTGGAAAAACTCTAGTCAGACAGTTATGCTACTTTCAGTTTCTCTTATGCTGGAGCAAATGATAATGTCGCACACAAAGGAGCAGCTGTGCCCGATGATGAGCTTTTAGAAGTAGTACTGTAACTCACTGGGCCATCCTGTATTGTCCTTCCAACTCCAGAGTTGTACGTGTGTTCCTGTGTCCTGACTCAGACCATCACAATGGATTGATTATGCTTTTAGGTGTTTGATTACTTGATAGATGAAACTTCTACCTTACATTTTCCCTTATTTGATTGAATTTGAACATTTCTTCATATATTTATGAATCATGAATGTTTTGTTTTCTGCTATTGCTTGTTCCTATTATTTCTGTGTGTGTGTGTGTGTGTGTGTGTGTGTGTGTGTGTGTGTGTTATCTCCCTTGATCTCTGTGGTTTATTTGTAAATGTTTTTCCCCAGTCTCCTCTTTTGTTTCTTCTGTTTTGTTTTGGAATTGGGGTCTCACTGTGTAGCTAGAACTAGCCTTGAACCTGTGATGTTGCCTCCACTTCCTAAGTCCTGAGATTGTAGGGTTATAGACTTGAGCTCCTGTGCCTGGTATATCCAGTCTGGTTTTTTTTTATATTTTACCTTTTGATTCCCCATATATAGTTTTTGCCCTGCTTATTTTTTTTAATATACAATTTGTTTTCCAGTTTGTACAGTTTATTAGACTTACAGATTTTATGTCTCGTTAGGAAAGCCTTCCCCACTCCCAATGAGTTCTGTAAGTTTTCATTGGAATTTTTACTTTCAAAACTTTGGTTGTTGTGGGATTGATCCTGTTATGAGTGTGACGTACAACACTCACCTTGTTATACAAAAGGCTGATTGAAAACTCATCTCACTCCTCAGGTTGGTTCAGGCGCAGCTTTGTACAGATGTGTCTGGCCGGGGATGCTCGACTCTTTCTTCTTTGCTTCCATCGTCGATGCTCTGATGCCTCGTTCTCATGTAGTCTTTGAGTTTCTGGGATGTGCTTGTATTTCTATTTCAGAATAAGTGTCCTTTTTCACTTTTCCACACACATCTTAGACCTAGAACAACAAGAAACACCTGTTAGTGCTTTTATTAGTTTTTTCAGCCTAGAAAACCTTGACACTGTTAAGTCTTAGTAACCAGGAACATGGAATGTCCTTTTCTTGTTTTGAGTTTGAAGTTTTTATTTTTATCTTTTCTAACTTTATTCCTACATATTTCCCCTTCCTTCTTTCCTTCCTTCCTTCTCTTCTTCCTCCCTCCCTCCCTCCCTCCCTCCCTCCCTCTCTCTCTCTCTCTCTCTCTCTCTCTCTCTCTCTCTCTCTCTCTCTCTCTCTCTCTCTTTTTCTGTTGTACTAGGTCCTTGCTTTTCCATTTTCTTTTTAGAGATGAAACCAAAGCTCTTACTTTCTCTGTTAGCTTTATACTTAACTCCTTATGGAATCCTTTTACCATTGGTGGCTTTTTATGATGTCATTTGGAAACAGTGTTCACTATACTGCTTCCTTTTTTATGTTTCAGCCGTTCTCTCTTCCCTCATCACCCTGGCCAGCTCCTCTGCAACAGAATGCATCAACAGTAACAGTGGTCTTAGTATATGTCTTTTTCTGTTCGGACCTTAGTGGGCATTCCTCCAATGTCTGCACATCCATTGTGATGCCGACTTTATAACCTAAATATGTTGTTCATATATGGGGAATTTTATTATAAGAATAGATGATGAATTTAGTTGAATGCCTTTTTAGTATCTGGGAGTGTGATGTATTTATGAGGTTTCATCCATATTCATGAGGGAGATGGTTATTGATGAGCTTTTCCAGCTGAGTAGCTACACCACAGCATGCAGCAAGGGATCCTAGGTGCTATTACCACCCGTTCTGTAGAGTATGGAAGCCTCATCACTCATCTTCACTGCCACTCTCGGCCAGAGCAATGCTTGACACGAGAAAGGTGAATGGGAAGCTGATGGGGTATAAAAACTAATATCCAAACTTACTAAGTTGGCAGATTTCAGGTGGATAATTCTTTGCATTTCAACAAGATTGCTTTTCTTCATAATAAGACTCATCAATCTTTTTGTGTATGACACACACTTCTCATGAACGCATAAGCATAGACTTAGGAGTAAAATGCTCATAAAAATTATTCAGGACATACACTAAAACTTTTGTGCTAAATATGCTACAAAGAGAAGTTCGAGTTATTACTAAGTAGAGCATATAGGCAAAGTAGCAACCCTGATAAGATGCCATGGTTCAGGAGCCCACTGCTCCTCTAAGTGAGATGTAATCATCACACCCTTATGATTCAGACCAGAAATCAGGGGTCATTTAACTGTTTCTCTGCATTGTTGGTGACTGTCAGTGTCTGTCTGTAAAGGAGTTCTTAGGGGAAATCCCACACTGTATGGAAGTATGAAGCCTTCTAGTGCCATCTTATTTTAAATGTTGTGAGCAGAAGAGCCATTGGTAATTTATCACACTTCACTGAAGCATTTTAAAATGTATTAATGCCGAGGATTCCTAAAACTAGAAATAATTCAGAAACTTCAAAAGATCTGTCTCCTGAGTTGAGAAACTGTACCATTTATAAAAGGGACTCTGGAGATGAGAAACAAATTATTCAAGCCTACCCAAAATTACATTTGTCTGTGACTTTATCATTATTTCAATGAGTACTTCTTTGGAAAAAGTGTTATTAATTAATTAGCTTTGATAGTTCTACCCCTGGCAGATGTACCTAGGGCCTTGTGTTATGTGGGGCAAATGCTGTACCACTGGGCTGTATTGCCTGGCTGCCTTTCACTCTTTGTTTCGAAACATGGTCTCATTACATTTCCCCATCTGGCCTTCAATTCACTTTATGTAACAGGCTGGCCTTGAACGTGTGAACCTCCTGAGATGGGTCACAGGCCTACAATACCAAGCCTCGCTGATAAGAATCTTGAATTAAGAAAACTTGATGACTTGGAACAGATACGATCATAGTAATTTGTAACAATTCGTTAATAATTGTTTGAGTGTATGTTGATTTGTATCCATTTCTTCTATTAAGATTGTCTTCAGTGAACTTTGGTGGTTTATGTTTTCGTTTGTACTTTGCATATCTTATTCTCTTGGTCATAGTTAAGATATTTTGAAAATGCTTTTGCAAATATGCAAGCATGCTGTTCCGTTTCTGCAAAACAAAACCCTAAGCTTCACTTTTAAATATATATGTGTGTGTATATAATATATACATGTGTGTATTATATATATTATATGTGTGTGGATATATAAATATATATATAATTCTTGGGCAAGTTCAGCAGCTTGCTGCTTTTATGTGATAGTGATATTAAAATCGTATATTTATAACACTAAAAGGCAAAGGCATTTCATCTCGTTAGCAGTCTCTTCACAAAGCCTTTTCCAAGGCTTTTTATTTCGGTAAAGTACTGTACCAGGTTGCTAATAAATTGATATGGATTGCTTTTAAAACTTCAATATTTTTATTGTTTTCTTTTGCCTGCCAAGTTGCCAAATGGGGTCACTTACCATACTGGAACTTACCAGGACCGGTTAACAAAGCTGCAGGACCATCTTCGCCAGCTTTCTATTCTCTTCAGGAAGCTAAGATTGGTCTATGACAAGTGTAATGAGAACTGTGGCGGGATGGAGCCCGTTCCCGTTGAGGTGAGTTTCTATCACAGGAGCGCGCACGTCAGTGACTCTTTTTATTTCCCCTTTTAGTGGTATTCCCCATTTTTAATTTTGTTTGTTTTACTTCTGAGATGAAAATGTGGATACATGTGTTTATTTTTCATTAATGATTTTTGTAGCATCTGCTTTCCAGACTTCTTGTGCTATTTTTTGTGTTTACTTCTATATTTGTTGGTATTTTAATGACAGTGATTTCTTTTATTATTCTTAGAAGAAATATTTAGTTATTATTAGTGGTGGTTTTTGCCATTGCTGAGAAAAGTTGTATTTGAGTAGAACTTGATCGAAATGGTGGTGGCTAGAAGTCAGAACACAATTGACTTAAGGTGAACCGGGAAACAATGACCCGAAGCCAGCAGTTGGAGATCGGTCTTTGAAGCAGGGACAGGAAGGAGGGTGGAATTGGGTTGAGGCATTGTCTTCTGCCACCAATGCAAGAGACCAGCACATTTGAAAATGATAAAGGAGGAGAAGCCTGTGGGGAGGTTGGAGGGATGCACAGAAGACAGAGGAGAGAGTGCAAGATGGAGGCTGTCTTCAGACAGTCCTGCAGCAGGAGAGGAGCGAAGGGCGCTTGTCCTGCGGGCCAGTTACATGTGCCCCAAGACTACAGAACCGCTTGCCGGGTGGATCCTTCTTTGTTTCTTCATGACGGCTTACCAGGGTAGGGACATGGTTCCCAATGTCGGCCGCATTTACAAGGGGTTTCCTCCAGTAAGTGCCATCCCAGTCCACACATAATTAAGCATATTTTTGCTAGAAGCATCGTTGCTCTGTAAATTTCTTATCCTATTAACAAAAAATTCTCATACCTAAAAGAAATTAAGACAAATAAAAAGTCTTGCAGCCACTGGAGTTCTGAGTGTCAGGTTGGTGACATTTGCATCACACATGTCCTCGAAGGTCCTCTCTTGTAGTGTAAAGGAAAACCTGTCTTACTTTGAATAGACTGGATCTGTCGGAGTAGACGCCACAGTTTACTTGACATTAGTCTTGGAGTGTTTCAGCCAGCATCTAGCGGTTACGTATTAGCAGACTGAATGGAGAAAGTATAACTCCATACATGACTGCCAGTTTTTGGAGGGGAGGGTGAGTTTTGTTAGTGTTGTTGTTGTTGTTTTCAGTTAAACACAGTGAACTTTATTGGGAAACCAAGGTCTTTTAGTGGTTAATTTTTTTTAATTTTTGAAATCAAAATATAATTCCATCATCCTCGCCTTTCCTTTTCCTCCCTCCAGTCCTTCCCATGTACCACTCCCCGTCCCCCACACTCCCTCTCAAGTCCATGACCTCTGGTGTCTTCTTCGTTTGTATATGTGCTGTTTTGCAAAAGAAAGCCGAAGTCTGGTTCATAGATACACTGAAATGATAAGCTTTTAAAGCTGTTGTTTCAGGCCTTTGCCTGAAAACCATGTATTTCTAAAGCATTAAAAATATTTAGAACATGGATCCAAAGCAGATGCGGTCTCTGTGGTAATCTAATTCACATATTTGGATCCCACTTCCAGCAACTTATTCCATATGTGGATGAAGATGGCTCAAAGAACGACGACCGGGCCGGGCCACCTCGCTTTGCCAGCGAAGAGAGACGAGAAATTGCGGAAGTAAATAAAGTGAGTTATTAGTCTGTATGCTTTATATTTCAGAGTCCTGATTAAAAATTATTAGGGAGCTAGTGTAACTCTAAAACGTAGTTTGAGTTTTGGAATTGCGTGGTGTGTTTTGTGGCAGATTGACTCTGTTTAGAGCAGTGGCGAGAAGTGAAAGGAAAGCAGATCTGCCGTCTGAAGAGTTGGGGAAGAGCATGGTTTCACCGGTAAAGCCCTCAGAGAGCCCATGGCTGGGCGTCAGTCACAGCCCATTCTCTTCCCTGAGCTGAACTCTGCCTTTCCACATGACAGCACGTGATGAAAACTTACCAGCAGGAGATGTGACTGAGAAACGACAGGAGTTAGGACAGCGTTGTCCTACCTCCAGTCCAAAAAGTTCCCACTGAGAAACATTTATTAAGCTTCCGATAGTTCTCATGAAACAGAACAGGAGAGAGAGTCGTTCATTCACAGTGGTGGAGATTTGGCCTCGCCCACCGAAAGCTAAGGGCTAAGCGACCAGCCTCCCTCTTCACTTACAAACACAGGTCACTGACAGTCTTCAGTCTGCTTGGTAGACTCCGCCAGTGTGTTAACAGTCTACTCTAGATAAACGGCCTTCTGAGCCAGGTGAGGGTAATTCAGTTTACATTCATAACGTCGACGGTCAGTTACCTTGGAAAGCATTGTTCTCGGATGGCTAAAAGGCATTCGGTATACTCCAGTCCACTTGTGCTGACTCGGTGCTTGAATCAAGAACAGTTTCTCTTTTTACCTTTTGATTTTTTATAAATAGCCAGAGTTCTTATACGAGAGGAGTATAAAAATATTCCTGTTTAAAATGTCGTATAATAAAATCTACCAGTGTGCTTAGTATTATTGTAGAGATTATAACCAGTTCAAAAAGACAGCACACAAGTGCTCAAAAATAGGAGTTATTATTACAAGTTATTATTATAACATGCTTGTTAGCATGTTCAGAAAAATTCACCTGATGAAAAGTATGGTCTAAGGCCAGGCGGTGGTGGCGCACGCCTTTAATCCCAGCACTCGGGAGGCAGAGCCAGGCGGATCTTTGTGAGTTTGAGGCCAGCCTGGGCTACCGAGTGAGTTCCAGGAAAGGTGCAAAGCTACATAGAGAAACCCTGTCTCGAAAAACGAAAAAAAAAAAAAAGAAAAGAAAAGAAAAGTATGGTCTATAAAAAGTTCTGTAAGAGAAGGGATTAACACCAGACAGTCTGAAACGATCCACTTTCAATACTGTTAGGCTCTTACTAACTGTAAGTTATACTGTTAGTTACAATACTGTAACTCTCTTCCCAGCTCCCTTCACAGCTGAAATAAGACTAAGTGGATTGGAATTCCAATAGTGACTAGCCCTGTTAAGATACATAAAGTAATTTTTGAATAATTAAAAAGAGCATATAAAACCCTTGGGAAAGCAATAAATATTACAAAAGTACCAGTCTTAATTACTTCATAATCTTGTGCAAAATAATCCAAATCCACATAAGACTTAACTTGAAAGCATACACAAAATAGGAGGCTTTTAGTACCATACTAGGAAAAAAAAAGTAAAACCAAAATGAGATTTTCTTCTGAAAATATACAAAAAATATATTTTAAAAATCCAATAAATAAGATTAATAATGCAGAATTGTTTGCTTCAAAAATTAAAATGAATGTGAAGCATATTATAAAGGCATAAATAAGCATATAATGCTGGCCCAGGAGTAGACAGACTGGTAAAATAATGGCCAGAAAAAACAACTTTTCTGATGAATATGAGAATTTAATATGACAGGAAAGGGATTATGTGGAAAATTAATCTTTAGAACTAGAAAATTGGCGGGGGAATTAACTTTTACACTACTGTATATTAAAATGAATTTCAGAGTTAAGAATTATGTCCAAAAACCCAAACTATTAGAAAAATAATGAGGAAAAATGTACTTTAAAATCAAAGAGAAAGAAAAAAATTAGATTTAAATACTGTAACTTAGGAATGTATTCTTTGAGAATTTCATATAGTATATTGTTATCATTATTTTCCTTTCCCCCAAATCTTTCCAGACTTCCCCCAAACCCGCTCAACTTCGTGCTCTTTCTTTTTCTTAAACTGACAACCAGGGAGCCTGTATGGGACTGACCTAGACACTCTGCATATATGTACAGTTGCGTAGCTTGGTCCTCTTGTGGGACTCCTAACAGCGGGAACAGACTGTCTCTGACTCTTTTACAGGCTTTTGGGACCCTACCCCTCATACCAGCTCTCCTGGCCCAGCCTTTATACATGGGGAGGTGTTTCGTCTTACTGCAACTTGATATGCCATGTTTTGTTGACACTCATGGGAGACCTGTCCTTTCCTAAACAGAAAAGGAGGAGTGGATTCTGGGGTGGGAACAGAGGAGGTGTGAGGGAGGGACTAGGAAAAACTGCCGCTGGGATGTACAATAAATAAACACATTTAAAAAGAAAGAATAAAGATATAGTTTAACAGATTTTAAACATAACAACAATAAAAAAGAAAAGAAAAAAAAGCACCACTAAATATATGGGGCTGGATTTGCATTGCCCGAGCAATCTTGAGCACAGGGCCTGCTCTGTAGTGTGATTGATATGCTCTGTCACTCTACTGAAGAAAGTTGATGTTCCCTCTCCCAGCTATCATTACAAAGAGATTCTTGGCCGGGGATGGGGATTTATGCCCACTTCCCATCCCTTGTGTTGTTGTTTGTTTCTGCTCTTTTGAAGGGCCCGTCACTCAGCTCCCAAAGTAAATCACACACGGAGGCTTACTTTAAATTATAAATGCCCAGCCTTAGCTTAGCTTGTTTCCTGTTAGCTTTTCTTAACCTAAATTAGTCTGTCTACCTTTTGCTTCTGTTTTGGGTTTTTTGTTTTGTTTTGTTTTTGCCTTTTTCTATTTCCTTCCTTCCTTCCTTCCTTCCTTCCTTCCTTCCTTCCTTCCTTCCTTCCTTTCTTTCTTTCTTTCTCTTTCTTTCTTTATCCATTGCTGGTTGTTAGGTGTCTGGCCCCTTGCATCCTCCTCTTCTCTCTCCTTGATTTCCTCCACTCCCAGATTTCTCCTTCTATTAATTCTTTCTGTCTGCCAGCCCCACCCATCCTTTCTTCTGCCTCACTCTGGGCCATTCAGCTCTTTATTAGACAGTCGGGTGTTCCAGACAGGCACAGTAACACAGCTTCACAGAGTTAAACAAATTACATAACAAAAGTAACCCACCTTAAAATAATACTCCACAGCACCTCTGTGTTGGGATTTGTCTGGCTTGAACTTGTATAGGTCTTGTACATGCTGTTATAGTCTCTGTGAGTTCGTATGTGCATCTACCCTGGTGTCTGGGAAAAGTTGTTTCCTTAAAATCATGCGCTATTTCTGGCTCTTAGAATTTTTCTGCCCCTTTTTGAACATAGATCTCTGAGCCTTGAGGGGAAGGATATAATAGGGACACGGTCTATTTAGGGCTAAGTACTCCAAAGGCTTTCACTCTCTACACATTGTCCAATTGTGAGTCTCAGTGTTGCTCACCATCTACTATAAGAAGAAGCTTCTCTGATGAGGGTTGAGTGAAGCACTGATCTCTGCCTATAACAATATATCATTGGGAGTTTGATTGCTGTATTCAGTTAGCAGGATAATAATAGTAGGTTTTCTTCTGGGTTCGTGGACTATCTAGTCTCAGATTCTTGGCCTCATTAACAATAGCGGGTATAGATTCTGTCTCATGGAGTGGGCCCTAAACCCCACCAGAGGTGGTTGGGCACTCCCCTAGCATTCACACCATTATTGCAGCAGTGACCGTATCCCGTAGGCGGGTCGTTATTATAGCTTACAGAACCGGACAACTTTTTTTTTTAATTGAATGATGAGTTTAAAAAGAACATTTCCAACAAAGGTAGACGTAATTAATCACCATTATGACAAAAAACTCACAGTAGGAAATTGGTTGGAATGAGGAGGGGCCTGAGGAATGGAATTTAGATTTGAAACTGTGTTCATACATTAAGAATTGTCAGGGCCGGGCAGTGGTGGTGCACGCCTTTAATCCCAGCACTCGGGAGGCAGAGGCAAGCGGATCTCTGTGAGTTCGAGGCCAGCCTGGGCTACCAAGTGAGTTCCAGGAAAGGTGCAAAGCTACACAGAGAAACCCTGTCTCGAAAAACAAAAAAACAAAAGAATTGTCAGGCTAGAGATGTAGCTGGGTGGGAGAGCACTTGCCTGCCAAGCACACACACACCCAAAAAGGAATGAAGGAAGAGAGGGAGGGAGGGAGAGAGAGAGAAGCAAGTTCTTATCTTTTCTGATTACTTTTCTCCATGTGCTTTTATAAGTTTTGTTGCTGTGGGGGGAAAAAAGAGAAGAAGAAGAAAAAGATACTCATGCATACGTTTCCAACACTATTTTCCTGGAATAAGTTTTTTTTTTGTTGTTTTTTGTTTTGTTTTCACAATTCAGCAAATAGGTAGATATACAGATTACAGATTCTGGAAAGTTTGGCTATTTTGTAATAAGAGGTAGTGTTTCCATGTTACTCTTCTGCTTCATACTGAGTGACTTAACTCAGATTCTAGGTGCTATAGTTACATTCGTGAATTGCAGGTTCTTACAAAGAGGAAACGATCAATTTAAATATTTTAAATTCTCTATTTAAAGCCAAACTCTTTATTGTGTGGAAGTTCATGCTTTCAAAGGAATGTGGGATAGGGAGGGAGTACATATCTTCTCTTGACAGGCCAGAGACAGCACCCATCGGATGACCTCCAAGCTCTCTATATTTCCTAAGAGTTGTTAGTCCTGCATTGTTTTCCTTTGTGTACATGGGCAGGCCAGATGAAGGGTACCCTACCCTATTGCCCCACTTTATTTTCTGGAGGAAGGGTCCCCTGACCCTGGAGCTTGGTGTTTTGGCTAGAACAGTCTGTGGAACCTGGGGTTATAGATGTGCATGGATACACCTGACTTCTCTGTGGGTGCTAGAGATGCAAACGAGGATCTTCATTC